CTGCTGCTGCTGCTGCTGCTGATGATGATGATGCATTGTTAACGTTATCACGGTCCTGAAGTGCATAATGATGTTGTTGATGATGATGACGAACAGCAGAAGTATATCATAACCATCACATGATGCTGATGTTCGTGCAGGTAAACTGCACAGGAATGTGTAACAGACTGTTATTCAGTTATTCAGTGTTAGGTGAAACTCCCTTGCTGCGCGCACACAATCACGAGGAGAAAGTATAGATGACGAGGGGAAAGAGAGGAGGACAGAGACAAAGAAGAAGAAGAAGAAGAAGTGCTTTCCAATCAGCCAGATGATAGTAATCTCTTGTCCAACGACTCCATATTTCTCAAATGCCTCCAGAACACAATGCTGAAGTCTGAACTGCGAGAGTTCTGCCTGAGGTAGTCACCAACCCTCTCTGCTCCCTCGTCTCTCTCTCTCTCTCTCTCTCTCTCTCTCTCTCTCTCTCTCTCTCTCTCTCTCTCTGTTGCTCACCTTGTGTGTGTGGTTGGTTGCGTGTGCTGCAGGTAAATGCTTTTCGATCGATGGTGGATAGTCCTTTAGAGAACGGTGTGATGGTGGCAGCGAATTCAAATTCGACTGCAACTGTGAACCTTCCAGTGACATTGCCCGGTGTGCCGCAGCGCGTTCGCTTCGAGATTCCGCGCTACAATGCCCAGGAGACAGCAACTGCTCTCAACTACTACCACAGGTGAGGAAGTTATTTCTGTCGTTCGACAGATCTGCATGTCTTTGCGTTTGTCTGCACAACGTTGTTTCTCTGGCTTTTCCGAAACAGTGTTTTCGCGAGCTTCAACTGAACTTCATCATCCTGCAACGTTAGTTTTTTAATACTTTTGTCAAGTTTTATGCAAAGAACCGAAGAAGGAAAAAAAAAAAAAAAAAAAGAAAGAGACGGTACCTAGGCTACCAGCTGGGTCGCCCGGGTCACCCTATTTTCCCGGGCGGCCTGGCCGTGCAAGGACGAGGGAGGGTCCCAGCCACAACAGAAAAAAAAAGTAAAAAAAATAAAAAAAGTCCGAAAGAATATTATGTTAAGCACAAAAATAAACTGAAAACTTTTGCCTCAGGGTCGCATCGAATTTCTTTACCAACTTTAAAGTTTAAAATAAACATATGAATTAAAATTTAAAAATATTTTTTTATTTTTTATTTTTTTATTTCTTTTTGGCCCGCCTGGGCAAGTGGACCCGGGCCACTCTGGAAGCCTAGGACAGTACTATTTTCTTATGCCTCTGGGTTGTGTCAGAGCGCGTCAAAAAAATAAAAATAAAAAATAAAAATGGACATCTGGGTTGATTGCACGGCAAGGCTCCGGCTGCGACAGTTGCGAAGGGTGAGCGCAAGGCTTAGGCTGAGCTTTATTACAGGCTATTGTCCCTTGTGAACCGTAAACCGGTCTAGATACCATGTTTAAACCATCAGCCCCATCAGCGGCTCAATTGCCAAAGCAAAAACGTGCATTTGTCCGATCTCCGAGCCTAACATCTGACCGGCGGGACATGGTACCGGTACCACATGTTGCTGCTGGTACCGGTACCATGTCCCGCCTGGAGTCAACCAGGTGGGACATGGTACCGGTACCAGCAGCAACATGTGGGACAAAAAGGAAAGGGAGGCGGTCTTTCCGTTTTGTTTCGATTTTTCAGATTTTTCTCTTTGCTAAGTTTGCTTGCTTTTTCTCTTTGGGGTTGGATTTCTTTCTCTTTGTTTTGACAGAGCCATTTTCTTGAGGTATCTTCATTCGGAAAAGTAAAGAAAAAACTTAGGGCTCATTTGTGAACTTAGGTATCTGGATTCGAACTTAGGGCTGTATTGCAATAGAAAATATTGGATAGAAAATTCAAAATAGTGAATGATAGACTCATTGATGGGAGTTTAAATAATTTTAAAATAATGTAATTTTTTTATCGAGTGCTCGAATTTTGACTTTCGAACCGGAAATGAAATGAAATGAAATGAAATGAAATGATGACGTCGTCATGACGATAATATTTCCTCAGGTGTAAATGTTTTTTCTTTTTCTTTTTCCCCCCCCTCTATTTAGCTGCCCGACTTGCTCCAGGTAGATGGATTTTGGCTTCGATAATGTAAATGAAATGATGATGATGGTTGTGCTTTTTCTGTGTCCCTTGTGTTTTGGTTTGTTTTCTTTCTGGATGTGCCCTTGTTTGTCATTTCATTCATTCGTTCCTTCAGGTGCAATATCGGTTTTGACGACCCAACAGCAGATGATATAAAGAGAATGTTCTTCTTGACGGCAGGAAATGGGGATGAGCTCAGGACATTAGCTCATTTGCTTTAGAGTGCATTCACTTACCTCATCCTCCCCTTCCCCTCCCTCCCTCCCTCCCTCCCTCCCTCCCTCCTAGGCGACAGGCAATGGGGATGAGCACTAGCTCACATGCTCTAGAGTGTATTCACCTACCTCGATGTCCCTCCTCTCACTCCTCTCCCTCCATCCCTCCTCTCTTCTTCCTCCCTCCCTTCTTCTCCGTTTCTCTCCCTCCCTCCCTTCTCTCTCCCTCCCTCCCTTCCTTCTCTCATCTTCCTCCCTCCCTCTTCATTCCTTCCCTGTTTTCTAACCATGGAATCCCTGAGCACCCACTGGTAGGCAATACGGAAAAGTTTTCTCCGGAGAATATAGATGACGTCTAGAGTGCTTGCTAATAGGCCCCCCTTGCTAGTCTATAGTCATTATTTGGAATTTGGGGATAGCCAATCCCCATAGCACTTTTGAGTCTTACGTTGTAACCTACCTTCCTGTTTGTTCCTGTATTCCCCTCCTCTCTTCCTCCTCCTCCACACCTTCCTTCCACCAACTGCATTCTTGTCTTCTAGCAGGTCTTCTAGCAACTCTCTCTCTCTCTCTCTCTCTCTCTCTCTCTCTCTCTCTCTCTCTCT